CGTCGCCGGTGAAAAATATGGTAGAATGTATGCTCTTGTGAAAAACAAAATGTTGAAACTTGAAAGTGAGAAGACTTGGGATTTAAGACGAGAAAATTATATTAGAATATTAAATAACTTATGGAAATTTCTTTTGTTTTTATGTTTGATTTTTAATTAAAAAAACAATAAGTATATTGGTCCGTCCACTCTTATTACCCATTTTCCATTAATTTTTTAAATAAATTCTTAAATATTTTAAGGGATATATTAATTTATCATCCCTCCCATCTTTTATAATTTATAATTTAATCATTATTTTAGAATGTGAACTTTAGTTTTTATTTAATTTAATCCTAAGTTTGTGTTCTTTAATTTTATATTTTTATTTTAATTCTATTCAATTTAGTCGTGTTCTATTCAATTTAATTGTGTTGATGCTTTAATTATTATACATCATAGTTCTATGTTTTTACTCTAATGATTGAACATCTTATTTCTTTTAAATAATAATGTATTCACAATGTTATCAACTCATTATTAATTATCTTACCCTATCATTGGGTTTCTAAAGTCTTCTATTTTGTTAAACTATATTATATATATGTCATTTTCATTTAGAAAACATTCTAAACATCATTAAAATGACTCATTAAAATTAAAATTAAAATTATTATGTTTTAGGATAAGTTGTGCGAAATTTAAAAATATTAACGACCGCGATACCTGCAGTTACCGTGATGACATCCGTTATGTCCGCAACCGCGATAAACACTACACAACCAAAAACGCGGCCGCAAACGCTATTTAAATCTTTGCTTCCTTCGTCCACTATGCTCCATTAGCTAGCTTGACTTTACCTACTGCGTACGCTTTAGATTTTGGAACATGAAGAACTATAATACTATATATTGGATTAAACCACAAAAATATTACAGTCAAAGTAATGGGGGAGAGAAATCGAGAGGAAATGGGGTTTTCGTAGCCGGTGAGAAGATGAAGAAGAATCCGTGTTGGTTGACTGGCTTTGTAGTGTCATCACCCAGATTTTTATCGAAGAAGTCTTTGATTAAAGGGTCACAAATTGACGATAATGCCCATGTGATTCTCTGAAAATAATGGGAATGAGCCATAAATAAATGCATGGGTACATATGGGATATTAGGGTGATAAATAATATTTTTATTTAATGTGGGGGACCAAGGGTATATTGTTTACGTACAGGCTGCTAACAACTCAAGCTGACGCCTTCACTATGACATTGGAATGGAAACACAGGCTTTTGCTGGCGGCTCTCTTCACAATGGGTCCATTAATTCATCTCATATCTAAATTTTAAAGTTAAAGTTAAATTCAACTTAATTATAAAAATAAAGAAATTAAATCTAAAATTTATATGAATTTAGAATAGTTTATGTTGATTTATATCATACGGTGATTAGTGGTGGTTGTAGACGGTTAATGTTAATGTACGATCAAAGAGAACATGATTTATGATGATCGGTGATGATTTATTTATTTTCTTTTGGATAGATAAATATATAATTAGAGTTAATGATGTCACTTAAATCAGAGTTTTTCTTTTTAAAATTTGATTTGAGTTTGATGAGTTTTGTAAAATTTGAGGTTTAGTTTAATTTAGAGTAAAAAATATCTTGATTCTACATAAAATAATATAATTTTTTGAATAAAGTATACAAATTGGGCCCGACAATAAGATACTATTTTGTTGAGTCCTTTGACTATTAAAAGTTACAAAATGGTCCCCTGATTAATGAGAGCTGCTTTGTTGAATTCCTCGACTATTAAAAGTTACAAAATGATTACTCAACTATTCATTATATTTCAAACTCATCATTTTCATTAAAAAATTAGCGATCGCATGAGCTAAACGTTAACATGTTAACTGTGATATACTATTTATTTGAGATTATGAGAGCTGATTTTATCATATCTCAGTAAGCAAATTAGCTTACATCTCTGACTACTGTCAAAATTTTAATGAAAAATGACGAGTTTGAGATATAATGAATAGTTAGGTGATCATTTTTAACTTTTAATAGTCGAGTGACTCAACAAAGCAACTTCCTATAGTCGATAGACCATTTTATAACTTTTAATAGTAAAAAGACTTAAGAAAGTAGTATCCCATAATCGGGGACCATTTATGTACTTTACCCGAATTTTATCTATGTGTTTAAAGATAACTGATATAATACTTCTCTTTAACTCTTTATATTTTTAATTAGAATCTTTATTTCATTAAATAAAAACAAAAAAAATATATATTAAAGTACCTCACTTTGCTTCAGATATGTTGGAATGGAACTTGAGAGAAGATAGGAAATTCACCATTAAATCCGCTTATGAGAGTTTGGAAGAGAATCGTGATGTGGAAGAAGATGAATTATGGATGATTATACACAAGTACGGGGGGATCCCAAAAATTAAGCTCTTTATTTGGCTAGTTTATTGGGGACGTGTAATGACGAATGATGAACGCATGCGTCGACATATAACGACAGATAGCAGCTGTCCGGTTTGCTCTGCACTGGCTCAACTACCTACTTCGACAATGCCCATCAGCATTAACAGTTTGAGCAGCAGTGATTAAATCGGATCGTCTTCAGGAATTTGTTGGGATGGACTTACGTTCATGGCTGAAAACAAACCTTGGGGATGCTAAGAGTTTTGTTCGACAGCATGAAAACTGGGACATTTTATTCGGGACACTCATTTGGAATATTTGGTTTAATCGGAACTCCATTGTTTTCGATCGATGGCTGGAGGATAATAGATCGATACTTGATCGAGGGAAACAGCTGATGGAGAGCACGTTCTGCTTGGTTCGATACATCGACAGCCTCAACTCAATTGTGGATAGAGAAGAGAAAAATGGAAAAGACCAACTCGAGGATGAGCGAAGGTGAATACGGATGGTGCATGGAATCGAGTGACGGGACTTTCTAGCTGTGGAGCGGTTATTCGAAACCATGAAGGAGAGTGGAAGATGAGCTTTGCTAAATTTATCGGAATTTGTTCGATTCATGATGCGGAGCTTTGAGGAGCCTTTATGGTACTTTTATGGCGCTTGGGAATTGCAGAAAAATCAAATTATATTAGAGATGGATAGTGTGGAGGCATTATATCTCATTACAGCAGCTTCGGAGGAAGGTAATCGAATCACACTATCGAATTACATTGCCGAAGTGTTACGACGTAAATGGACGGTGCAACTACGGTATGGCTCTCGGAATAGAAATAAGGTAGCGGACTCATTGGCGAAGCTGGCGACTGACAATTCTTACGATTGCTTGAAGTTTATCAATCCCCAATGGAGGTTTAAGCAGCTTTACGATAGATGATAGCAGCATTGTGGGTGCTCTTTCTTTACCAAAAAAAAAGTCATATTAAGTACATATTTTTTTAATCTTGAATTTAAGTTTGGTTTTCAAGTCGATGATATTTTTTTTAATGTAAACCGAATCAAATATTAAATAAATAATTATAATCTAAGTCAGATTTAAATCAACTAAAAATCTGATTCGAGTTAACGCTACCATTCTTTTTTCTTTCTTTTTTTTTTAAAAAATGAGTATCATTAAAACCCCTTCTAATCCTAAGTAATGGAAAAAATTGTCTAAATAGATTAACCATTAGAAATATCGTTTTGTACTGTAAAATAATACTGGGATAAACCGAGTTAAAGAAAAGAGAATTATCATATCTTAAGAGCCCACGTTCAGGTTGTAAGTGTATGAGCAAATTTATTACATTCCCTATTAACAAAGGATATAGTAAAATCTCTGTTAGAATATAAAATGTTTCGAGCTTCTTGGAGTTACATCCCAAGCGTTGACAAGTCATCCTCTTTCGTACTCAATTTATTGACTATCAACATGGAATTTGATTCAAAATTAACCTTGCTCCAAAGGTTATCACAAGCTAAGTGAAGACCCGCTATCAAAGCGTAAACCTCGTCAAAACTGGAATCAAACCACTCGGTAGGGCTGTAAAAAGCTGACCTGACCTGTAAAATTGATTGAAACCGACCCGAGTTAAAATTATTTTTGACATGCACTGTGGTGATCCGAAATCGACTCGAGTCGGAACTGGTGTTGACCTGAACTCGATTTGAACTTGGAAATTGTGGATCCGAGCCCGACATGCATCCGACCTGAGAACGATCTGAAGCCGAATTGAACCGAAAATATGATACCTGAACCCGAACTGCATCCGACTGATATGAACTTGAACCCGAGATTGACCTGGTAAATAACTGGTATTACCCGATCTGTTTCAACCTGACCTGTTATGAACCTGACCTGTAAATAATCCGACTTGTTAATGATCTGATCTGATATTTACCTGACTTATATATTACCATGGACAAAATTATAAGATTTTAATAAAATTATAAGTTTTTTAGCTTATGATGTAATTAAAATATTAATATGATTACTTTTTAAATGTTATAATAAATATTTATTATGATAATTATATTAAATAGACCTATTATATTGGCCCCTTCATTAATTGGACCATACATGTGGCATCCATGTGCAAGAAATCCCTTTTACTACCTTATTTGATTATTTTGGCTTTGCATTAATTGATTATGTGTCCACAGCTATAACTAATTAATTATTCAAGTTTTTCTTTCCCTAAAAATTGTTCAAAGATATAGTATTAATATAAATACAAAAAATATAAGATCAAATATAATTAACATTTAATGATATAAAATTATCGTAAACTTTTAAAATCAAAGTTGCATATATTTAAAAAAAATTAAAGAAATGCTTTGAGCCCATATGCTGGGACAATGAAATTTTAATTTTTTAAATTTATTTATCTTTATATTTGGACTTTATTAATTAATTATGAAAATCAGACTTGTAATCAACAAGGTATGTAGCACAGGCAATGAGGAGTGGAAGATGGGAAATTTCATACTTAGAAACAGAAAATTCCATTTCCAGAGTGGTGTCTTAGCCCATGATTTTTGTGATGTTTTTGCTGATTCCATAACTTTGTTCATCTCTTCTTGTGTACAAGCTGTTTCACCACCACAGTTAAGTAAAACAAAACAGAAGCATGCATATATATATATATAGCAAAATACAGTGGTTTTACAAGTTTAGCTGGTTCAACCTTGAACCTTGTACTGGGTTTTCCTGGTCATTGGGTTGATAATTGCAACACTTTTTCCAGAAGAAGACTTCTTCCATTCTCCATCAGCATAATATTTGTAAACATCTCCCTCCAATACGTCTGCAAACACTCCAGTCCCTGCCATAGTGAAAAAAAGCTCACTTGCCCAACAAAGAAAACACTCCAGAGATGCAATTCCGGAATCAGTGATAGCACACCCGGAGACATCAAGGTCATTGAGCAATTGACGGTTATCTGCAATCGCACCCAAACTAGCATCGCTGATCTTACAACCATAAAGATTAAGTATTTCTAAAGTTCAACCATGCAAATCAGCCATGATACAGACAACTTTGTCACTCAAATTTTCAAAATGATGCAAAAACCCAGAAAGGAAATCGAAACAAAAGCCTAGGTTGAGGGTGAATGAGATTACCATTTGACAAAAACACTTCCATCTTTGGCACAGACAAGAGAGGCTCTAGGAGCGTCGGTTGAAGATAGGAGTGTTCAAAATTCGGTTTTAACCGAATTAATCGAACGAATCGAATTAGTTCGGTTAATTCGGTCGGCAACCGAATTAATTCGGTCGGAGAACGGTTAAGGAATTTTTTAGAATTCGATTAACGGTTAATTTAGTTCGAAATCGGTTAATTAACCGAATTAACCTTTAAATATAATTATATTAAGAGGCCCAATCCATTTAAAATCCATTTAAAACCCAAATCAATATTAATTAATTAAAATAATATCAAAACTAAATGCAAAAATTTGAATCAAATTAATTAGATATTATTTATAATTAGATATTATTTAAATTAATTGTAAATTGTTTTTTTAATTAAAAAATATTAAAATATTTTATATTAATAAAGTATTTATAATTAATATTAAAATAATTATATATTATAATTAATATATTATAATTAATATTAATTTAATTAATATTAACTTATATTAATATAATATAGTTTATAGTTTATAGTTTATAATTTGTAATTAATATTAATATAAAATATAGTCTACAAAATTAATATTAATATAAACTATATGTTATAAATTATATAGTATAGTTTATAAACTATAGTTCATATAATTAATATTAATATAGTATAGTTTATAAACTATATACTATATTAATATAAATTATAGTTAAGATAATTAACATTAATATAAACTATATAGTACATTAATATAAACTATAGTTTATAAATTATATACTATAGGTTATAAAGTATAAACTATATAGTACACTAATATAAACTATTGTTTATAAACTATAAGTTACATATATAGTTTATATAAAATATAAATAGATTGTATATATACATATACTATAGGTTATATATATATAGTTTATATATAGTATACATAGTTTATACATACATGTACTATAAGTTACATATATAGTTTACATGTATACATATACTATAGGTTACATATATTAACTATTGTTTATGCATAATGTTTAGGGTTTAGAGTTTATGGGTTAGGGTTTAGGGTTTATATTTTAATGTTTATGATTTATGATTTAGGGTTTATGTATATTGTTTAGGATTTAGGGATTTAGGGTTTCTATAAACTATATATTTTATTACTTTATATAGTTTATGCATAGTATTTCTATAAACTATATAAGTAATTTACTTTATACATATAATTTATATATACTATACATAGTTTATACATACATGTACTATAAGTTACATGTATAGTTTACATGTATACATATACTATAGGTTACATATATTAACTATTGTTTATATATTATAGGTTAATGTTACATATATAATTTATATAAATTATTGTTTATATAAAGTTATAAACTATATATGAATTATCAACTATCTATACATATACAATGTATAAAGTTTAGGGTTTCTATAAACTATATACTTTATTACTTTATATAGTTTATGCATAGTGTTTATATATATATATATATATATATAATCTATAGATTACTTATATTAGTTAACATACATATATATACTATATTAATATAATTTATAAACTATATATTTTATATAGTTATACATATATAGTTTATATATATATATATATATAATTAAAAGTATTTAGAATGTATACATGATTAAATTGCATCGAATTGAAAATTGAAGAAGATATTTACAATTAAACCATGACTAAAATGAAAGAAATAAAAAATCAAATACAAGTGCAAAATGATGATTGTTGGAGGAGCATGAGCCTAATTAACCCAAAATATTTTGTTGGACACTATCATCGGCAACTTCCCAAAATTTTATATTCTCTCTAAATTTCTCAATTTCCCATAAATTCCCAATTTTCCTATATTCTCAAAATTTCTCAATTTCCCTCTAAATTCCTAAATAAAATCAAAAAATTTCACACAAAAAATATTTCTTTTAAAAAGTTTTCTCCCACCACTCGCTTTGAATAATATATATATATATTAATATAAATTATAATTTATAAACTATATACTTTTTATAGTTTATACATATATAGTTTATATATATACTTGCTTCAAGGAGTTTCTACAAAGCAATGACGACGAAGAAAGGTCGAGAGCTAAACAAAGATACAAGGAGGCAAAGCGGGAAGCCAAGAAAACGGTGGCTAAAGCAAAGGATAAGGCATACGAGGAAATGTACAAGAGATTAGACACCAAGGAAGGACAAAACGACATCTTCAGGCTTGCAAAATCTAGGGAGAATAGGAAAAAGGATCTAGGTAGCATTAGATTTATTAAGGACAACAATGGTGTTCTTATAGCGAAAGATCATGATATTAAGAGGGTTTGGGGTAATTACTTCTTTGATTTATTTAATGACGGTGCCTCTCCCTGTAGAGAAAGTACCGTTGATGGGTCATCTGACCATCATACATTGGCCAATGACTGCCCTACAAGTAGGATTGGGTTTGAGGAAGTCAAAATGGCTCTTAGAAAGATGGGAAGGGACAAAGCTGTCGGTCCTGATCAAATTCCTATCACTGTGTGGTTGGCCTTAGGAGAAGAGGGAGTTAAGTGGTTGACCAACATCTTTAATATTATTTTAGAGACTGCCAAGATGCCAGAGGAGTGGAGAGAGTCCACGGTGATACCAATCTATAAGAATAAAGGAGATCCCCAACGTTGTGGTAACTACAGAGGTATTAAACTACTCAGCCATACCATGAAGCTATGGGAAAGGGTGATAGAGGCTAGGTTGAGACAAGTTACTAAGGTTTCAGAAAACCAATTTGGCTTTATGCCAGGCAGGTCTACCACGGAGGCAATTCATCTACTTCGACGACTTATGGAGAAATATAGGGAAAAGTCTAGAGATCTTCACATGGCGTTCATTGACCTTGAGAAGGCTTATGATAGCGTTCCCCGCGATACGATCTGGAAGACTTTGGAAACGAGACGGATCCCAACTATTTATATCCGGACGATACGTGATATGTATTGTAGATCTACTACATACGTCAGGACTACAGTTGGCGACACCGAGGCATTCCCGGTGGAAATCGGACTCCACCAGGGGTCGGCTCTTAGCCCTTACATCTTCGCCTTGATTATGGACGACATCTTTTGTGCGACACCAGACGGTGTACCATGGTGTATGCTTTTCGCTGACGACATTGTCCTAGTGGCTGAAACAAAATCTAAGTTGAATAGTAGACTGGCTACCTGGAAGACTGCTTTGGAAGAAAAAGGTTTAAGGATCAATATTGATAAGACAAAGTATTTATGTTCAAACTTCAGTAGGGACCAAAACGAAGACGATGTAGAAGTTTGCATAGAAGAACACGTTCTCCCCTCAAAGGATTGTTTCAAGTACCTAGGGTCTATGATACATAAAGATGGGGGTGTAGATGATGACGTTACACACCGTATAAAGGCGGGATGGCTAAAGTGGAGGGTCGCTACTGGAGTTTTGTGTGACAAGAAGGTGCCTCTAAAACTTAAGGGAAAACTTTATAGAATGGCAATAAGACCAGCACTATTGTATGGATCAGAATGTTGGGCAACCAAGAAGGATCATGTAAGGAGGATAGAGGCCGCAGAAATGAGAATGCTTCGGTGGACATGCGGTAGGACTCTGTGGGATATGACAAAAAACTCTGCTATTAGGATGTCCTTGGGGGTGGTGCCTGTTTCCGAGAAATTGAGGGAAGGAAGACTACGGTGGTTTGGGCATGTCCTTAGGCGACTACCATCTGATGTGGTCAGGAGGGTAGAGTCGATTACAGTCGACGGTGCCAGAAGGAGAGGACGACCAAGGCGGAAGTGGGAAGACTGCTTGAGATCTGATTTGATGGATTTAGCCCTTACCGAGGACATGACCTCTGATAGGAAAGTATGGAGACTTAAGACTAGGATAGTCGAGTAGTGTGGGTCACATCTCTAAGGTGTATCATCTCTGTCTTCTTTTACTGCCTTTGTAGTAATTTACATAACTTCTACTTTTTATCCGTTTCTGTTATTGGTATTTTTGAAGGCTTAGAACTGGCCTTGCTATCGTTGAATTCTGTGTATCATTCTCTCCACTTTTGAATTTAGTCGGGTCTTACGTTTCTGTCCATATACAAAGATTACTGCCCATTACAGACGCGCATATGACATTAATGATATTAATGACTGCAGATGAATACTGTACAACTATGTATTTATGTATTTATTTATACATGCATTGCATTTTATCTATATTTTTAATTTTCTGACTGCCGGAGGTCTTCCACGGAAGCTACTCTCAACCTGGCGTTGGGGGCAGCCTACTACCCTACCTCCCCCTTACCCCATTGCATATGGGAATTGGGTTTTGTTGTTGTTGTTGTTGATAAACATAATTTATATATATAGCTTATAATAATTATATAGTTTATAATATAAATATAGTTTATATATAAATTTATATTATATATATATATATATATATTATTTTTTTAATTTTTTAAATGAATGCAATTTACTATATTTTTTATTATTTCTTCAAATTTTGCATTTATTTCGATTTAATTTTTTTGTTTTTTAATTTATTTCAATTTTACGTATTTTACTTTTATATGTATTCAATTTAGTCCTTAAATTTATATTTGCATATTCCAATGTTAGTTGTTATTTATTTATATTTTTGTAACTGACCCATAATTTTTTAAATGTGTTTAATTTAGTCCTTTTTATATTAATTTAAACCTCATATTTTAAATTTATTTCAATTTAGT